GATTTTAGAGAAGACACTTTATTGATCCCAGAGGAAATGTATTAGAAGTGTTCATGGATTTCCATTATCACGCTTGACTTCAGGTCTAATCAGGGCTCCGGGTTGCAAAAATATCTCTATCTCTAACTTTGATCATTATTTCATTAATATATTCACAATGTAAAAACGCACACCGCAAATCTTCTGATCAGTCTGTTTTTATGCTTATTTCTTCAATGATCTCTCCAGGTTGACGAGTAGACATTTTGCTCAAGGTGTAACAATCCATTAATTCGACGTGATTAAATGAGCTGTCACAAAGGTGACTCGTTCTATCTGAATTTTCTTATAGCATCATCTTTTCTGCATATGAGAGTATTACCACCTAGTAGTCCAGAACGTCTTTTGCCCACTGACAGATACAAAGTGTCACGTTGCAAAAAGCAACGGAATGACAACAGATATTTTCTCTTCAGAATAAAGGCTGTCGTCATTCCCCGTGGACCCGTCAGCACCCTCGCTTCTCTGTGAGCGCGGCACCAATCATCTGTTTTGACTCTACAACTGAAATATTACTGCTGGCCTACCAGCGCTTTAAACATCCTGATATTTTATTTATCTCTAGCAGACAGGATCCAAATGGCGAGAGATTTGCCCATCCTGAGAGATATATTGAGGAAGACACCTGTCAAAAGCCTCATCTCTCAGAATGAAATATTTCCCTCAAATTTTGATCATAAACCTTTAAAAGTACTCTTTCAAATCCGATCTGAATTTGGCAGGTGTTTTATACGCAGTAGAGCTGGATCTCCGGGGGTGATTTAAGCAATAACCATAGGCACAAAAACATCCATGAAAAAGAGGGAAAAACACAATGAAACAGGACAGAAAGTTTATGCAGATTTATATAACAAATAGACACATTTTTAAGATGCCATATCAAGGTGTAAACGGTCAACGGCTACGTTATGATACGACTTCGAATGCGATCTCACAATGTGACTTTATTTCGGCATGTTTTTTGAAGTTGCGATTGTCTTTTCTTCACTATTGTGACTTATATCAGAGCAAAAGAGGTACAAAAATACAGGGCGGGACTTGATTTAGGGTTAGGGGTAACCCGAACCGACGCTAAAGGTTGCCATGTGCGTCGGAGTTAGATGACCCCTAGGATGAGAATGCATTGTTGTTCTTGTGTTGCAACCTAAGTGTTGAGGTCCTGGTCAGGTGGCATGAATAAATGGGTTTTAATCACATTATTCATGTTTTATTAATAAAGTTAACATTAAATTAGTAATATTCTTGGCTAAAGGACGCTGTTCATGAAGATTATAGAGATGTGAATCACGATTCTCGCTGTATGACGGATCCGGCCACACATATTCCGTGGGGATCTAAATGAACTATAAATCCAGCTGATTATCATTCACGAGCACTTGGCACTGCAACCTCCTAAAACCTCTGCTTACATAAATTATGCTGTCGCTGTTTCACAGAGGTAAGCCTACGAGCTGTTTACATAATTGAATTTGTATGCAAACACAACTAACAAGAAAATATGAACTTCTTTGGCATTATAAGTACTTTGACCTGAAAAATATTTTTCAACTTTTTTTGTTCTGTGGCTCTCTTCATGTAATCTTCCCGGAAGACTGAGCGAGTTGTTCATCGACTCTAGAGATCAACATTTGTTCAACTGATAAACATTTGTTTGATATTGTTCCATGCGCACACTGTGGCAATTCAAATACATATTCATGAATATAGAACTGATAAATAAATAAAGTGCAGAAAATGAGACGAGTAAAGCGCATGAGCCATCGGAGGATAAAGCTATATTCAAAATCTGTTCAATTATTCAATATAATGTCAGTTCTCATCCTTCTGAAATGGTTATCTGCAAGCCCTATCCGTCACGCTCTGTGGAAAGGTCTATGTTCTGGTGGGTTGGGGTGATAATTCAGACCAGTTTTGGCCACAGTAACTAAAACTAAATCTGGGGAATAAGTTGGGTATCTTAAAGCTTTTATGTTCTATGCATCATTTCTAGGCAGATGTTCCATGTCACGTTCAATTGATGCATTTGCAATGTCAGATGGCACGGTAAGAACATTTATAGTCTTCTGCCAAGCAACATAAACATGAGTCAAAGGTGTTTAATGATTTTAGAAACACTTGCTGAAGCCTCATATTTCATATTCAGTATCTTGTTTCCTTTAGACAGAAGTTGATGTAGTGTGTATAAAGCCCAGTTTTCCTGACTGCAATGAAACGTTTTCTTTCTGCATTTTTGAAAATGCATCACTTGACACAGAAGGCCAGATAAGCTCCAAATAAAGAGATTTATGCGGCTGAAATGAGCATGTTTGATTAGTTTTCTATTCATAGTCACTTGATAATTGAGTGACTGATGTCTAAAAATACAAATGAAAAAGCTGAAGTTAAGGTTCAGGCAGTCATTAGGTCTTTTGCTGAGATGTTCAAAGGATGTCACATTAAACCATAAAACTCTGTGATTTTTAAAAGCAGAAACTGTTTATTCACCCTTCTGAAATTAAATTGGATACAACATACTCAAAAGTGGGAAGCAATTCAAAATAAAAGTTATTGAAGCCAACATAAAATAGAAACTGACCCCATTTCATTTCTTAAAACGCCTTTAACTGTGAATGTTGGCGATGCATTTTAAAGGGTTCGTTCACCCAAAAATGAAAATGATGTCGGCCGAAGCTCAGCCACACGTCAGCCGCGTCTTACGTCGGCGGCACTGAACGCGGATCCACAACAGAACCGGAGCACAATACAAAGCTGAATAAAGTCACACACAGTTTTTGTTATTTTTGGACCGAAATGTATTTCCGATGCTATTGAACCAACCCTTTAAGTACTGTTAATGATGAACAGTGATAAAGCAGTGATTATATACTATATATGCACTTTTTGGAACTTACAATACTAAATGACTATGATTAAGGAAGTCTGTATCTACTTACTAGCTCACAATGTTGTGATAATGATGTTAAGAAATTCATTAGCTTGTAAGCCTACATTATGTTGTGAAAATTATGACACATTCATTGAGGATAAAACCATAACAAACGTAGTATGTCATGATGACATGGTTATTAAACTGAGATTTAGACACAGTCAGAGATGAACATGTAGTCACATACAGTCTGTCACAACAGACGTCTAATGCACCGGTTTCCACAGAATGACAGCAAGTAAATGAAGCAGAAAAAGAGATGAGTTTGTGTTTGATAGGAACTCATTCATTTAAAGTAAAGTCAGATTGAAGGGACCTTGGCCACGCATTATCTCATTGTCTAATGTCACTGAGACCCATATATGAAAGTATACCTTATCAAATTGTTATTGCTTCTAAAGGGGCGCATAGAGTTAGGGATATTGGCATTTGGGAAGGACCTGCCTATCTATTATGCTTTAAGTCGTGGCTCGACTCAAATATTCAGCATGTTGATTTAATAAAACCACTTAACAGAAGCAAATAGCTTGATCTAGGCTGTTAATTGAGCTTCAGATGACCATTAGCCCAGTCCAGAGGTTTTTAATTAACAGCAGTGTGGAAACGGGCTGGGCATATGTTAATGAAAAGAAAGAACGTCGGTAGGGAGTTAAAACAAGTGAAAGCAATGCTCTTATCATCAGTTTTAGAGTCAGAGTTTTAAAAAAAAAACATAAAAAAGACCAAACCAGTAAAATATATATAAAGAGGAGTAGCACAACAAAGAACTGCGAGAAGATATAAGCTTTCAGCAGTGGTTTCTGCTAGTTTTACTGATCCGTCCTGACAGGAGGTAGGTAGCACAACCTACATTCTGTCAGTCAGCCGCTTTGATTTCAAAAAGGAAAGACGAATCCAGAGTTTTTTTTGTCTGGTAAATACAAAATGCCCCCGGGCAATGTATTGTATTTGTATCGATAGCTAGCACATGTTCTGTCATTTTGTTTAGAAACAGAATTTGCAGCTGACATTATAAAACCTGAAAAGCAGTAAGCTTTGTGCTTTATTGAACTTGACTTGTAGAACCTCTTTACTTTGTCAAAAGAGCTTCTACATCTCAATAAATTAATTGTTAATAGATAAATTCTTGGCAAAAAGTTTGCAAGCGGCTCCATTTTTTCATAGTTGGGTTCCTTTTAATTTCTAGACAGGGAAAACCTAAACTATATCCATCCAAGCGTCAAGCGATTCTTTCCAAAGTTTGAAGAAAAAGTAGTTTTTCTTATAATACAATACAATACAAAATTGTTCTTCTCTTTTCTATTTTCGTTTCTTTGAATTCATTTTTCTGTCTTCGTGGCATGGCTTGAGCTTCCACAAATGGTAAATATGGTAAGAAATATCATGTAACAACATGAAAAAAATAAATAAATAAAAGTTGAAGTTTGAATATGTTTATAATTTTTTTATGGAAAATCATTGTTGTTGTTGTTTTAACATGTTATTCACAGTTTTTTCCCTTCCTTGGGCCATCACAATGGTAAACGTGGTAAGAGAAACATATCACAGCAATAAAAGCAAGTCATGTAATAATCTAAATGTTTTGTAGACTATGAATACACGAAAAACTTGTATTAACTTGTGTTAAAGTGCAGCATGAATCTTTTATTCTGGAAATCACTGTATTTAGCCTCCTTAAAGTTGTCACCCAGCTCTAATTTGAAGTTAGGTTTACCCGCCTTTAGCACGTCAGCAGGTCTCACGACGAGGACAATTTAAAATCATAACAGTCGTGAAGGCGAATTATCTCTGTTTGGTCAGTTAAAACCATTTTGTAGTTAGTAGAGTTGTTTTAATAACCTATATGTTTTAATTTCTATTCCCTGAACATTCCATAGCTCTGTGGTAAGAAAGTCATCGCAACCGCTAAATTTACCTCAGAACATGTTTCAGTTTGGCGCGGTGTTTTGACGACGTTGTTCACAAACCCTCCAGCTCTCTTTTCCCAAACTGAGAAAAGCGATAATTTAATTCGTTAATTCATACTGTGTGCTGATTACTTGTGTCAGACTCTCTGCTAGAGGAGCTGGGAGGAGGAGACGGGGGAAGGAGGAGCGAAGCCGTTCAGTGTGTGTTCTCTACGGCTGCCTCATCCGGCATCCGCCACTGAGAGATGGAGAAAGTGAGAGAGTTGGAGTGAGCCGGGCACTGATGTGCTCTGAGCGGCAGAGTGAGGGAACGCGCATCGGGGTTGAGACACAGCGACCGAAACAGTGTCTATAGGCTGAATTTAACACTTGCATCAGTTCAATACAGAAGAAAGAGCGTAGAAAGAAGCAGACTACACCGACCTTTTGTACGAAATCAGCGCTCCTAACTTTGAAGGACTGCAGTGAGCGCGCATCATTGCCTCAGTAACCAGCACATTACTGATGAGATCCTGCCCGACTCAGGCGATGCGCTCCGGGATGCTTCTGCTGCCGCTGATCTGCGGGCTGCTCGGGCTCGGTGAGTTTTTACTGATAGCTACTCTACGCATCATATTCACCTGTCAGCTAATATATACGCAGCGAGAAGTGCGCTGCCTACACACCAACTGGATTTAGTTCTTGCAAAACCTTCTAATGATTTGAAATTCGACCTGATTGTATTTGTTGTGGTTGGCCGTTCCTGTCGCTTGTTTTAGGGTTGCGCGCATTACGAATATATTAATCACACTATCGGTGTAGTCAACACTTTGCTACTTTTTTCATATTTCGTGTGTAGCGATCATTATTACTTGCTTTATAAATTGGTACCCCTTCCTTAAATTAGCCTACCAGTGTGCGAAGTTTGGGGGGACCTCCATTGAGAGTTGCACCCTTCCATAGGGAGTCGAACAAAAAGTAGAGGTCTTCAAAGAACGTAGCAGCTAAACTTTATGCGAAGAAACCTTTTTTACACGATTTTTAAATTATGGGATCAATTTGAGCTCATATTTTCACGTGGCGATACATAAATATTCGTGAACAAAAATCTCTAAAAATGCTGGGTTGTTTTAACCCAACTTTGGGTCAAATATGGACAAACCCAAACGTTGGGTTAAAAAATGTAATAATAAATTTTAACCCAATGGCTGGGTTTGTCCATATTTGACCCAAAGTTGGGTTAAAACAACCCAGCATTTTTACTGCTGGAGCGTTTTTCACTGACAAAATAAGCCCTAATTATTATCAAAATAAATTTTCTTAAAAACCGCAATTGTTCTTCCTTCACAAAATTAACTGTCCCACTGCACATTTTCCAATTGTCAAATATTTTGCATCTAAAAGTATAAGATATAGTTTGAGTGTTTTTGTTGAGGTTAGGATCCATTGTTGACTTTGTATCCGTCTTCCTTTGAGATTTAAACTTTTAAGGTAAGCTAGATAACAGCAGAGATCACATCGTTTTCATTTAAAGTGCGGTGACTTCTGCACCCTTCTCATCTGAGATTGTGTGTTATTTGATTGTGTGAGCTTGAAATAACCCGAAGATGAACCCCTGAAGTCCAGCATGGGCCAAACTCCTCATTTGAATCTGAAACCAGCAATAAAGCCTCCGGTACGGCTCCCACATGCACACTTGTGCGAATGAACATCAAATCTCAAGAGGCTTTCGGGTTTATTACTGCTCTTTATGAGTCTGTGTGCTGAGATGTTAAGCCTCGCAGGGATGTTTCTTTTTTTTTACCTCCCTCCTGTGAGTCTTGAGAGGGAGTGCTTTGCCATCACTCGGAAAATCATTTTTTATGACCTGAGAGGAAAAACTGACAGGATTTTTGCTGCAGAGTTGTGTTTACGCCATATGCACACGGTGTTGCACTTCAGTGGCGCAGAACTTTGAGTTCTGATGATATACTGCAGACCTCATACGTGCTTCAGGTTTGTGTTACCATAGCATCTCAGCTCAGCTGCAAACAGACACGTTTCATGAACATTTATACATAAAATTAATGAGCGCCTCCCTTCTTCCAAGCAGCTATGCGAGAGATTAATCCGAGTAACAGTTATTTATACTTCTGTTCCATTGGCGAGCCGAGATGCTATCAGGTGAGCCTTGTGTTTGTACCAGTCCCCGGGGACGCTTTGTTAACCATGGCCAACTCTTGTGTTACAAATGAACGCCGGGTTTATTTAGCATCTCTTGTCAGTTGAATGGTGGTGCTGTGGCTAGGGAAACAGAAGGGGAAGAAAAGTCGATGCGATCTGACACCCTTCATCTGATCCCTTTATCTGCTCCGGCGGTGAGGGGGAGAGCAGATCCGTCCCCCCGCAGACATGGGGACAATCTCATTCATGCATTTACAGCTCTCAGTGCCAGCCGAAGACCCCGTGACAGGTCGTGAAACAAGTGCATCTCTTACAATTTTTGTTTTCTTTTACTTTGGCTCTGTCACACGTTTTAATAGTCGCGGCATATTGAACTGAGCAAATATTGAGTTTCCCAGATCCCGCCCACCGCAATCCACAACTTCCTGATTGCTGCAGAAGGCATCATGTTTCCCCTTTAAGTGCCATAAACACCGTCAGCATTGTCAGCCGAGGGGGCAGTGTAGCGCCGCATGGTTTTGTGCAGCCCACACGCTGTTATACAAGATGCTGTCAACGCTTGCTAACAATTATATTGTAATCAGAGCTTGTCTTTCATAAAACATGGACTGTGGGGGCATCTTGGCTGTTGTTTGACAAGCCGTCCTTGGCCTTTTATCTGTTAAGCGGCTTGTAGGCTTCATTTTTACAGCTGTGGTACTTCGATAATGCTGGAAACTGAGCGCCTTTGTTTAGTCAGTGCTGTTTTTCCTCTGCAGGTTAAACTATTTTATGGACATACCTGGCTGAATTTTTTATAGTGGCCTGACCGTCGGGTCAGTGTTTCCGAGATTTTTGCTCGCTCTGCACAGAAAAAGTTATTGTTTTCATAGTTTTTGACCTGTGTAACCTTGTTTTCTGGTTCCGAAAACCAAATTGTGGATATTACAGAAATTTCACTAATCATTAATAAATTGAACAAATAAACAAATGATAAGCAACAGCACAAATAAACACAACAGAACAATGAAAACAGGTTTCCAGGCAAGCCTAACAGTACACTATTAAAGGGTTAGTTCACCCAAAAATGAAAATTCTGTCAGTATTTACTCACCCTCATGTTGTTCCAACCCCGTAAGACCTTCGTTCATCTTCGGAAAACAAACTTGCTGTCCTCGAAAAGTCATTAAAGACATCGTTAAAATAGTCCAAGTGACTACAGGGGCTCAATCTTAAGTTTATCAAACGACGAGAACACTTTTTGTGTGCAAAAATAACGACTTTATTTCAACTATTGGTTTATTTCTCCCTCTGCGCGAGTCAGGTTACTAGTTTAATAGCGTAAGCTTCTGTTATTGTACGTCACGCGCATCACACACATGACCAGCGTCGGCCAATAGTGAGCCTACGTGTGACGTAGCTCTACGCAATCACACTACGCTAACTGACTACAGGCCCATGGAGAAGAAGTGAATAGTTGAAATAAAGTCGTTGTTTTTGTTTGTTTTTGCGCACAAAAAGTGTTCTCGTCGTTTGATAACCTTAAAGTTGAGCCCCTGTAGTCACTTGGACTATTTTAACGATGTCTTTAATGACTTTTCGAGGCCAGCAAGAGTCATTCCCTCAAGAAGCCTATGGACTAGTATGCAGGAGCGATCTTAATATCTTAAATATCTTAATTTGTGTTCCGAAAATGAACGAAGGTCTTACGGGGTTGGAACAACATTAGGGTGAGTAAATACTGACAGAATTTTCATTTTTGGGTGAACGAACCCTTTAAGGTAAAAAACAAGTTATCAGATGTAAATAGTCTTCACTCTAATTTTTATTAATTAAACACACAGATTCTTATTGACGTTGCTAAAGTGATTCAGCCAAGAGCAGAGAGTGATTTTCTCTTTTTCTTTGTTGTGTGATTAACATTAAAGACAAAGACAGCAGCAAGTACGTTAAGGCCTGTTCACACCGGGACGAATTTTTTGCGTGCGTTATTCGTCGACGTTTAACGCCTCGTGACTAAACAAAGGGCGCCAACGTGAGTGTCATTTTTAAAAAACGCCTCGGGTTCGTTTTTATAGTTTGATGTCCCTCGTCAAAAACTATCCAACCACTGAGATTGGCGCTTTCGCTCACGTGTTTGGTGCTTCTGAAGTTACAGTAAAACACAACTTGGGGGCGCTCAAACACAAAACGGTCTTGCCGAGCACATATGCAACGGCGAAGAAGATCTATGCCAAATGGCGTCGCCGTCTATACCATAGATATCTATATAAAGGCTAGATATCTCGTCCACGCTGCTGGCCAATGGAGGTCGACGTCTGCACCTGGCGGCCATCTTGTCACAGGCAGCTCGCTCACTCGTAACATTGTGTTGATGGCACATGTACTATTTAAATAACCATAACTTGCTCAATTTTCTACCGATTTTCAAACGGTTTGGTTTGTAATAATCGTCAGAGATGTTGTTATGACACAGCATACTTATGAATAATAATCATCCAGATAATTATAGCCACGTTAATAACGTTTGTAAGAAACCAAACAGTTTGTAAATCCGTCAAGATTTCAACGAGATAAGAGTGTTTGTGTTCGTGCTGACCACTCATCTTACATCAGCTTGCCTGTGACAAGATGGCCGCCGGTGATGACGATAGAAACTCCGCCTTAAGACATCTAGCCTTTATATAGATATCTATGGTCTACACAGCCAGGAAGAAACAAGACGAGGAAGATGCAAGGCAAGATGAATGTAGAGCTGCTGTTCTCGGTGGTGATAAAGAACTATATGAGAAACGCGACAGTGACTACAAACATCCCGATAAAAGAGAACTATTATAAAGTGGTATTGCAGAGCAAATGGGCGCCATCTATGTTCAGTCGGCTCATCAGCAAAAATCGCTTGGGTGTGAACACGAAAAACGCTGACGGATAACACACGCTGATATTCATCCCGGTGTGTTGGCTGCTGTCCGATATCTTATTTTAGCCCAGCTTTTTATGTTCACCGAAGACATAACTGACTGTTTGCAAGGATATGCCAAGACGGGCATCTTGACATACAGTAAGTGTGTGTTTATTTGTTCATTGAACCACAGAAAGATGCAAAAGACAATTCTCTTGCACAGTCTAAGAGGTGGTGCACAGAAAACCGAGTGCGCGAGTGCCAAATGTAGGGCTGGGTATCGAGAATCGAGTATCGATTGGAACCGAGACTAACTTTTCGTTTTTCCCGGAATCGTTCAAAAGTTAAAATTTCGATTCCTAGTTTCGATATTCACAGTCCGCCGAGCGGAAGAAGAAACCACCACGCGAGTCGAACATGAGCACCTTACGTCGCCGATCCAAAGTGTGGCTTCACTTTTCTAAAAATAACCAAATCTCGGCAAAATGCAAAATTTGTGACAAAAGGAGTATTTTTACAGAAGGATTATTTCCTTCAGAAAGGAGTATTTCCTTCAG